TGTGTAGAAGAGCTGTACGAGTAAACTCACAATTGAAATCCCACAAGAGATTTGCAAATGCATTTCTAACATATTGCCAACTGGTTGACAACGCAAGACTATATTGCACTAATGCATTGGAAGGTCCACCTAAGGTACACTTGCTATCCCTTCTTTTAGTTTATATATCTTCCTTCCTTTCCAATGAAAAGAACCTGCACACATACCTTAACTCAAGAGTGTTACATTCCATGCATGAAACTAAGGAATCAAACAAAGCCTATGTGCCTGCAGATAGACTTCCACATAACCAAGGCTCTGAATGGACTTCCTTGAATTCTGTATCTCCTAGCCTCGGAACTCATAGTCGTTGTGAGCCAGCCCCTCTGTCTGACCTGAAATAACTTTGCTTTAGACATTAAGAGTCCCAAATGTAAGATGCGAAATATATAATTTATTCAACCATGGATGGAAAACATAGCTTCCAGGACCAGACCAATAACAAAAAGTTCTGCTTGGAAGTAGTTTATGGTAGTCTAACATTATATGTGTGATACTAAGATAATAATTGTTGTGAAGTTGATAGGATGGAAAGACAAAGACAGAACCTTGCTTGTTGATCCAGATGAAATTGATTGCTTGAAAAGGGTGGGCCGATTAAATGACTCAGCGAATTCCATATACGAACTTTACAAGCACCCTAACCCAGCTTGTGAAACTGGGTCAATCTGGAAGGACATTGTCTTATCGCCTTCAAGATTAAACATTCAAAAGGAGCTGAAGTACTCCATCCAGAAAGCTGAAAGATTGAAACGATAAACCAATGGTCCCGGCCAGGTGCGTTTTAAACTTCTTATCTTCACAGCACAGATCAGAAGATGGAGACTGAACAAAGCATTGGGAGTTTTCAATATCTGCAACCAATGAGTATTTTGTCTGTGTTTTACCAAAAACTAGGAGCTTTTTGTCTGTGTTGTACCAAAAATGAGGAGCTTACTCCTAAGATTTATATATAGAGAAAGTGAAGATTTGAAGGTCAAAATTTGGACTTATCTTAGTCAATGGTCATAGGTATATACATATTTATGAGATTGATAATATCTGAATATCCCTGTTGTATGACCTTCATTAGGTCAGTGTAGAAAAGATGTCTTCCTTTTTTTTTTCTTTTACTGTTTTGGAAGCCTAAAATTACCCACAATATAACATATAATTTTAAGTCCAATGTGGAGTAGGGATAATGTATATGGATGTGATGCCTATTTATAATTGAGCATAGATTTGACATGTTGACTACAAAAGCAATGCAAGCCCCAAAAGGAAAATTTGGAAATCTTTGATCTCAAGGCATTTACACTAACTAGATATGCATCCACGCATAACCCAATATTCATTCTCTTTCAAATAATATTTGGCATGAAAGGAATGGATTAATGACTTTGAGTTCAGATATTCCTGGTAATGAAGAAACTGCAAGTATTAAATGAGTCATGTATTATTTTGGTAAGAACAAATGAGTTACTTAAATATCAAAGGAATGATAAAGAATTGCAATTCCTGGAATATCAGTTAAGCGTTAAGCATTCATATAGTAATCTCCAATACACGTCTCTTAAATCTAAAGATCCACAGCTAACTGCCAAATAAATTCCACTCCAGATCCCTAAATAGCAAATGCATTGGGGAGGGAATTGGGATACATCATGGAGAAAGAAATAATCTGACAAAAAAACAATGATATCTTATAAACCATCGTTTAATTTGTACTGTTTATTGCTGTGATTCTTTCCTCTACGCTTTCAGAAGTCAAAAGAACAAAAAGGATTTTCTAAGCTAGGACCATGCATTTGAAGCATCAAATTAACAATTAACAAAGTATAGATGACATGAATGAATACCTGCTGGATATCAGCCAGCTACATTCAATGTTTAACCTGGATTTGAGGCTGAAAACCTGCCCTGCGTTAGGTAAACAAAAATTAGAAAATAAAAAGAGGGAGAAAATGATAGACAAATGAGAGGGGGGCCAGAGAGAGCTCTCTTAAGCTAAGATCAATAGTAAACAAGGTTAAATTTTAAAGGAAACATGGTAAAATACATGCCTGCTTGTGTCCCTGTGCATCCCCAGAATAAACAAAGATGTTCACAACCAAGTATTCCTTGGTCATCGACTCATCAGTAATAATTCCTTTACTTTGGCATTGCATGGGTAGAATTAAGTCCCGCATATAGGATTGTTGTTTCGTAAAGTCCAGTGAATTCTTACACCATATCTTGAGTAGCTTGTGACCTCTAGAAAACAGGCAACATAAGAACTTGTCTTATACACAGGTGAATGCCAATCCTTTATGGTTTATGCAAAGATGAACATACATGTCTCTTTTCTCCAGTTTGCTCTGTATCTTATTTCCACCAAACAAGTTCTCCAAATTCCTAAAGGTTTTGTGTGATTTACAAACCTGGGATCTAACTACTTTAGTGTTCCATGCTGATCCTAAATGAACTGGCCCAAGTTATGTCTGGACATTGATTCTCAATCACACCCTCTAATGGAACAGCCTGAAATCTGGTCAATAGTTTTCTGTTAGTTGAGAACGACTGTAGTCATATGGATAGCCAAGTCCTGGTTTACAACTGGTTCCTTGATAGGACGATTATTTCACCTATGTGTAGCTTGTGACAGGTGAGCGAACTGATAATGCTAATGCGTATTTTTGCATGACATTAAATTCACAAATACATACATGTAACCAGAATGCAGAAAATACAATGGTAAGCAGAAAAGGAAAACATGAACCCAAAAAAGCAACTACATATGAATGACGAAAAAATTTCCTGAATAATATGGAGATTGGAACATAGTTTTGAGAAATAAATTGCACAACAGCAGAGCATATAAGAGAAATGGAAACTGCCTAAGAGATTCACATGTAGGTTCTAATCCCTCCTCATGCTCAATCTCTATAATTTATCTCCTCCATGGTCTAGCAGGCAAGGTAATGCTCAGTCTTGTCAAGGAGAGGGACCTTTCCAGTGGTATACCCAAGCATACATCTCACAATAAGCATCTTTCAATCTCAATTTCTTGCGGCTCGCAGAATCATCATCAATAGTGAAGCTACTTATTCTGTTCATTTTAAGTTACTACCATAATTAGAAATAACCTATTAATCCCAAGAACAAGAATTCGCGAGATCAGAGCCAATGGATGTAAGACTGTGAAATGAACACCAGCTCTCACTGCTTTCTTTTCCAATCTCATATTCATACATTCTTTATCCTATATGCAAGAAAACAAGATTGAACATTAATTTTACTGGGCATTTTGAAGGGAAAGGTGATCAAATTTTGGGGGTCACCCTGCCCATTACTCTGAAAAACCAGTATACCAATGAACACCTAAGAAGACAATATTAGAATGATGCAAGAACTGATAGAGATAAATGGGAAATATCAGCCTTCCACATCTTAATCAATCTCAAACCCAACTATCTCCTTGGTTCAGCTAAACTTTTTCCTGTATCTCAGAACATTCTACAAGTAATGACAAAAAGAAAGAAGACTTGCACTACAACTACTCCAGTTACATTGCGGAAATCCTACTTTGCTGGCTCATGCTTTGAGTCACACTTTCCAAATGCAACCTCATTGTTTGTTCCTATAAAACCCTAGCATAAGGAGGCGCTGAGCAGGGGTCACGCTAGACTAGAAGCCACCAGAGCAAGGGCTGCATTTTTTACATGGCCTCTTGAAGAATGCAGTGTTTGTGAGTTATTGTTCGTGCCTCATGTCAACAACTCGGATATGGTTTCAACTTTCAATGGTTTCATTGTTTTCCTGTACGGCATGATCTCACTAAGCAGATTATTCTACACTGGTGTTTCAACAATCATCTCATGTTATGGTACATCTATGTCAATAATATAGTGCTGACTCCGACACCTCCTTGTTGGTGTCTTCTATCTCTAATTTCGGCCATAAACTCAGCTATATATCAAAGGATTTCTCAAATTTCTCTTGCATAATTTGTTCATACCATCTCCCTAAAGTCATTCATATCATCAAATGGCTTTGCAAGTTTAGTTTGATAGATTTGTTTCCTTGTAAAACTACGTGACCGTGTAATCGTAAGGAACCTACGGCATTTAAAGTTCATGCTGTATAAAGAAAATTATCAAAGAAAATATTCCATGAAAGACTAGAACAAATGAGAAATTGGAAATTCAAATTAGGAAGAGGGATCCAAGCAACCATCCAAAACAGACAGAAATATGGTGAGCATGGCAAAGCCATAGCCATATGCCTCATTAACTGGGCAGCTCAATTATTCAATTCCCCTCCGGTCTTATTAACTGTGAAGAAGTAATGGCATACAACGTGTGATCTCAGCTTCTAACTGTTGGCAAACAGTTGGTAGGTATGCTTTCAAATCTCGAACTAAAAACCCAATAAACGAAGAAACCCTAATCCAATTATGAACGACAATGTAGTTTGATTAAACCCTAATCCAAAATGAAGTAAAATTTATTGCAGATAAATCAACTGATTTGGGATCAAATTGCAGAACAAATTAGACCTACAAGAATAGCAAACAACATGCATCTAGCAGAGTTTGAATTGAAGTGTGGAAGTTTACCAAACCCAGCGTTTTCAGATCGAACACGCCATTAGGTTTATACAGAGACCTTCGAAATCCCTAACTGCACTTCATCGCAATGACAACATACATCATGGAAGGGTTGCAGAATGCTAAAATGCGCAGGGTGAATACGATAACTCATCTTCTCACTAATTCAACTGAAATGTACTGAAGTTGTTACAATCTCAAACTGTCCACAAACCCTAGAAAGAAAAACAATTCGATTTTCAGGCTGAAAAACTCGATAATGAAAGTAAAAAAAAAAAAAAATCCGATATATATTTTTTCCTTAACTGCAAACACGAAAACTCAAACTGTCCCCAAACCCCAGAAAAAAAAACAATTCGATTTTCAGGCTGAAAAACTCGATAATGAAAGTAAAAAAAAAAAAAAATCCGATATATATTTTTTCCTTAACTGCAAACACGAAGAGATTTACAAGACTACCCCTACAACCAACTAGAGTCTCTTCCTCCCTATTCTCTCACTTTCTTCCCTTCCGAGCTGGAGCTTTCTTCGCCGGTGACTTGACGCTTCTTGGCTTCACGCTCCGAGTTGGAGCCTTCTTTGGAGTCGCAGCTTTCTTCGGTGCAGGCTTGGCCGCCGGAGCTTTTCTTCCCGGAGATGACCTCGTCAGAGTCCGTGCCGCCTTGGCCGGTCTCTCCTTGGGCTTGGGCCTTGGAGCTGCTGCCTTTGGCTTGGCAGCTGCAGCTTTTGGCTTGGCAGCGGTAACTTTAGGCTTGACAGTTGCAACCGGCTTAGACTTGACAGGAGCAGCAGCTTTGGGCTTTGGAGCAGCAGCCTTCGGCTTTGCAGCAGGTTTCGGCTTAGGCTTTGGCTTTGCTGCAGCAGCCTTTGGCTTCGCCGGAGCTTTGCTTGCTGGCTTTGTCGTTTTGCCTCCCTTAGGCTTCGCAGCAGCTTTAGCCTTGGGCTTGGCGGCGGCCACTGGCTTCTTCTTCACCGGAGAAGCAGGCTTAGTTGCCGCGGCGGACCTAGCAGAAGGAAGCTTGAATGAACTTTTGACCTTGACGAGCTTATCGGAAGAAACAAGCTTCTTCAAATGGTAAAGCAGAAGCTTCTTGAAGTTTGGAGGGAGCTGCTTGTGCTTTTCTTCAATGAACTTTGTGATCGCATACTGGCTCGAACCAGTTCTCTCCTTCAAAGTCACAATCGCATCCTTAACCATCTGCAGCAATGGCACGAAATGAAAATCAGATCGAAAACCCTAAATTTTCAAGCTTAAGAAACACCAATTGAGAAAAACGCATTCGAATTCAAGAAAATGCATACCTCTTCATAAGGAGGGTGAGTGGGAGTAGTTCTAGCCTTCTTGGGAGCGGCTGGTTTCTTCGCCTTCGGCTCCTTGGCTTTGCTCGCCTTGCTGGTTTTGGCCGCCGGTTTTTCCTCCGCCGGCTCGGTGCTGGCCGGCTCCGGTGGAGGATTCTCGACCGTCTCAGCCACGGCGGCGATCGCTTCTTCGGATGCCATCGGATTGAGAAAGAGAGATTGGGATTCGAATTTAGGGTTAGGGTTTGAAATGAGGAGAAAGAGGGACTGAAATCGAAGGATGGAGATCTGGATCTATAGCAATGTGTGTTCACTGGTAATTTCGTTGTGAGAAGATGACGGAAATTGAACGGTTTAAATAGTCAAGTGCCTGAGAGACGATATCCAAAAGCTGAGCGCTGATTGGCTGGGTGGCCTAGCACTGGGATCGCTCCCTTTCGGAAGTTTGAATGTGGGCCTTTGGATAGAACGTTGTGGACGGTTGTGAATGCTTGAAAGATGAGGCATAGAAGGCTGGGTTAGGAAGAATGGGGTTGTTCATTGTTGGTTTGGGTGTGCTTTTGTGCCCAATTGATTTGTGCATAACTTGGCCTAAACTTGATGGATTTGAGTGAAGTTTTTTTCATCTTGTAGGAAATTATATGAGCTTTCTAATGACTATTTTTTTGAGTTTTTTGGATATTGGGTTTGGGAGATATTTGGTTTAGAATCCACAATGGTCAGGATTAGGGTTTTTAGTGATGTTATTGTGGTCTCAAGCGATTTTAAGAGAATGCTTGGAACCAAATCTGGATTTTTTAACCTCATCTCATTTAAACGTAGTTAAGGAACACATTAGTTCAAGAATTGCGAAAATCGGCCCGGATTTGGGTATAGAAATGTGGCTTGGAACATGAATGAAGTTGCACATCTTTTTGCACCTTGTGCAAGGTGTCACATATTACATATGGTATGTATCCTATTTGTATAAAAAATAAAATGACCTAACAAATTAGCACTAAATCTCACACATTATGTGGCATCAAAAGTGATTTTGGAACATAAATCCCAAGTGAGTTCGAAATCTATTGGTCATTGGGTTGTTTAACAATTAAAAGTATATATGATAAGTTGAGCATGTTTATAACATTGACACATAGTGCCACTTGCAAACCCAGGTAAGATATCTTTGCTTATCCTTGTATACATATTATATACCCACAAATTTGTGTCAACCAAACATTTTTCATGTAAAATACACAAATAGTGTAGCAGCTGTTCTTATCTTTGCTTACCTCACTCACTAGATTACTAGTTGCACCTATCTGCATCAACCAATAAAAAGGCTTCGCATACCCAGAACCAGAATTTCCTTCCTTGTAGCAGCTTATATATCATCCCTGACTTCTGCATATGTTTCCCGAAATCGTGCAACGCAATCCAACTCGTATGTAAATTAACAAGATATAGAGGAAATTTTGGTCTTGCAGACAATTGACTTGGCCTATTGGAACATTTCATAAGAAGTTAATGAAGAACATAGGTGTAGTCGTCTTCATTCTGTGATGGTTCATATCATTTTGATTCCTCACATCAACTGGACATTGGCTCTTTCTAATAGATAAAATATACCAAGCGGAGGAAACAAGAAGTCGAGAACCATATTGGCCCAAGCCAAGATCAATTGACTGAATCTGAAGCATATATAACATGAACTTTTCAAGCTTATTGACTTATTCTTGCATTATTTGGTGCAGGATCGAAGTTAAGGGGTTGGTTTGATCCAAATCTTATTTTTGTACTTGTTGACAAAGACACATAACTTTTGTTAATATCTAAGCCAACCTAGCCCTCCCATACTTGCATACAGTAATTAACCTTCCTTCTTCTTCAACGACTTACACATGACCTGCTAGCTCTTTCTTGGCTAATTACCAAGTTAATTTCTTCTCTCTTTTTTTCTACTTCCTCTAGACAAATCTGTGTGGATATCCAAAACTCTCTTTCTCATAGTTGATTGTTGCGTTAATAGTTTTTATCTTTCTTTCGACTGGTTATGCCAAACAAAGTAAAAGCACACGAACACTTGAAACACTACGAATTTATCCAAGGCCCCATCACTATTTTTCAAACTCAAAGCAATTGTGAACAGGCAATGTCACATGGGAAACTTGATATGTTATACCTTAGATAAGAACATATGGTAGATTGGAAAGTTAACTCAAAATCATACAAATCGCATTAGATTAACATTCCATCTCTGTGTATCTTTGTTGACCAAAACAAAAATTCTGCTTGTATTTAAACTTAGGTGTTAACCCATATCATTGTGCTTCTGTTCAAAACGACGGCATTTAAGCGTTTTGGATTTTTTGCATTCATGCATGCTAAAAACGTAGTTTTAGACATAAGCGCAGATTAATATGAGATCAAAACTCTTTGGGAAGATGCCTAAAATGCATTAAGTTTCATCCTAAATTTGACTCGTTCAAATGGCCTCTAATCTCAAAGATGAAGACAAATTTTGCAGATCAGAAATGTGTTGCAAGATAATAGCCCTCGTCCATGGCACACTGACCTCCCACAACTGGGAGTTACCTACTTTCAAGGCGATTAACATTCATAAGTGCCTTACTCAAATATAAATCTAACATTAATACTATAAAACACCAAGATTTTTTGAGGTTTAACAAAAAAAATTACAAATGATAGTCTAAACTATAAGAAGAAGGGGGTTCTCATACACACACTATCAATGTGTCATGGGAATTTGATCATGAGACTACTGGTCTGCAAATGAAGACCTTTTAACTAGACCATATTGGCATATATTTTCGAGTTTTAGTTATTAAGTGATTGGGGATACTGGAGTTTGAACTTGAATTTCTTCCAATATTGGAAAGATAAATAACAGTATAGTGAGTGCTTAAGAACTTGTTGGGCTTATCTTGATTGCAAAACCTTATATTATGCTCTTTTTACCTTGTAGTGTGAGTTTATGGTATTAAGTTTGTTGATTTGCCTTATTTACTCATTATATCCTTTATAATTTGAAACTTAATTGGGTTACCCAATATACTCATCATTATTCCAAAACTTTTACTATATATTTAATATATGGAAAGTAAATATAATATATAATGAGTAGTTCTACTACTAATAACATTGGGGTCTTTAGTAATAAAACTCTACACCTACTAGGTTTATAGGTGGTTAAGTTGAGAACCATATCGATGTTGGTAGTAGTTGACCGATAATGTGTCGTTTTAAAATCTTAACAATTTAGGGCATGTTTGGTTCAAGGTTTAGGAGTTTGGGAATGAGTTTCAAATTGCATTCCCATGTTTGGTAGGTGTGCATTATTGGGAACTGGACTCATGGGTATGGACTTCCTATGTAGGGAGAATTTCATACCTTTGGCTCACCCTTGGAAATTTTTTCCACCTACTTGGGAAAGCATTTCATGGAGTTTTTTTGGACTAACTTACCCACGTTATTATTTTTAAATGTCACTTTTGACCCTTTAAAAAATTCTTAATATTAATAACCTTTAATAATAATATAAAGGGTATTGTTGGAAACTGATAACTTTTCATTCCTAATATTACACTAACCAAACATGGGAATGAGAGGTAATTGCATTTCCTATTCCTCATTTCCCAGCATTCCCAAACATAGGAATGAACATCCTATATTTTCATTTCGTGGGATTAGACATGGGAAGTTTGTTCCCAAGTTCAATCCACGAACTAAACAGGCCATTATATCTTGATAACTCTATAAAATATACTCAATTTTTCATATTTAAATTCTATTCTATTTTTATATTAGCATAACAAGAAACTTCACAATTTTAAGGCCCGTTTGATAATCATTTCAATTTTAGTTTTTAGTTTTTATTTTTTATTTTTTATGCTAGAGTATAGATGAAAAAAAGGGAGAATAGAAGCCAGAATGAGAGTGAATGAGAGGAGAGGAGGAATGAATGAGTAACAAAAATGAAAACAAAACTAAAAACTTAAATCTATTTGAAATATGATGTGGCAACCAAATCCAGCTACGACTTCATTTGTTTTTCAAATAACATTATTATTATTTTTGTTGCTTTTTCAAGCGTGGGTTGTAAAACCACTAAAATAATACTGTTAATTATCACTAAAATGATTAAATATTTTCTTATCAAAACTAACAAAAGCTTTACCTTTTTTTTTGGTCTAAAAAGTAGAAGCTCTTATAAAGTTGCTATTTTGAAGAAATATGACATTTTTTATTATATAATTTTAAATTAAAAAACTATATTACCGGGGACTGATACCAACGGTAAAGTGTCCCTTTTTCCAACGGTTTTTTCAGAATAACGGCATAGGTTTTCTTTCCCTCTATTTTTGTTTTTAGGTTTTTTTAATGGTCGAGATAGAGGACTCCATTGCTTCTCGGATTCCTTTTATTTTCACAAAAACCCTAGACCCACAGACAACTCCCGCCAACGAGTGAGGGTTTTGCTTCACTATTTCCAGCGAGTCAGCGATGGTAAGAGTTCTCACGTCCATATCCATCAAATCAATTTCTAATTTTGTTTTCAGTTTGTTTCCCGTGAATATTATCCATATTTCCCCGGAACCAAACAGAGTGTTGATACTGCGCGTCAGATTCAGAAATTTTCTCAAACTATCTTAAGTTTTAATAATTAATTTTAGGCGGAAGTGGAAACAGATGTGGATCCAGGGCAGCCGAACTCGCAGAAGGAAGGTAATCTCAAAAGACACAGTACAGACGGCTTGTTTGTGAATTTCCAATATGATTCAAATGAGAAATTACATGTCTGGCTTTAAATTGTATGTGCTCATTTTGTGTCAGATTTCAACGCGGATCGAACCAGAAACCAATGGCGTTGATCAAGAAATTGCGAAAGGGCGGTAAGCGATTTAATTTGGCATTGGCAATGGATTTTCATTTACAATATAAATGGTGGAATAGTATGCAAAGCTATCAGTTTCTGAATTATCTTCATCTTTTAGATTTAACATTGTGTTATTTCAACAAGTTTGTTTGGTTGGATTCATTATATGTGTCTAATGTTCAAAATTATAAGTGCCTTTGTAAACTTTTCTTTAGAGTTTATTCTGTTGTTTCTTGTGCGACATCTGCTTGCCCCTTGCTGATTGTACAGCCGTTGGCTAAATTACGGTATTCGTGTGATAACAGTAGGGTGGGGTTCTCAGCTTCTTGATATGAAAATTTTAACATCCTTAGCTTAGGCCCGAGGGGTTTTCTGAAGACCCTTGGTTTTGTTCTCTTGCTAACTGCCGCGCTAGGACACTGTGACTGATTTTCAAAAAGCATACCGATT